ACCCCACGTGTGTGTGTGTGTGTGTGTGTGTGTGTGTGTGTGTGTGTGTGTGTGTGTGTGTGTGTGTGTGTGTGTGTGTGTGTGTGTAAACAAAACAAAGTGGTACATTTTATATATAATCCCTAAATTATCAATACAATGCTGAGTGTGTTAGCTGCATACAGTACAGTACAGTACAGTACAGTACAGTACAGTACAGTACAGTACAGTACAGTACAGTTCGGTATTTGTACAGTATAATATAATACAGTATAGTACAGTATAAAATACTACAGTACAGTACAGTATAAAATAATACAGTATAACATAATACAGTACAGTACAGTAACTCTACAGTATAATATAAAACAGTACAGTACAGTACAGTACAGTACAGTACAGTACAGTACAGTACAGTACCACAAGTAGACACCCAGGGAAGGGTGTGCATCTCACCAACAGTACTCGCTCACCGTATCTACAATTATACTTACATATTCTTCAATAAAGAGTACAGTATGGATTTGGAATATTCTCTGCACGTTATAAATAATGCAGCAGATATATAAATGTTTACATGTAATGTACATACAGTAGTGGAAAAGTACATTCTCAAATCACTAAATTGTCCCTACATGGAAAAGACTCAAGAAAAAACCTTCATTACGGAAACTGCACATTATAGTAAGGTTGTCTGGCACACGACATGAGCCGCTCACACAGTGTTCATGGAAGGTGCAGCTACAACTCTACTACCTACAAATTCACTTATATCTGGCTACTCGTAGTCCACCACCGTCTCAGTATTGAGCAATATGGCCGTAATGGTCCTAGGGGAAATACAGTGCCAACACCACGCCACAAGTGTTTACAGGCAGTGAGCTTATGTGAGTCGTTGAGCTCATCGTGAAACTTTACTTACAAACAAACTTAGTTTCCAAGTTAACACGCTACAAAAATTTGATATCGAAGAGTGTGTGTTCTAGTGAGCAGAAACCAAGACCGATGACAGGTGTGTTGGCACGACAGCCTCACAAAACACACCACCAGCTTATCTTCATGACACCCGTCAGCGATAAAGTGGATGCAGTTTTTCCACCACTTATTAGAATGAGATAAGACAACTGCACTTTTCCCTCAGGTAAATCTGTACATGTTGTGCTCCATTATAAACTCTGAGATTATGTTGGGTGAGTGTATTGTGGCACCCAAGTGGTAAGCTCCAAACGGTTTCTCGCCGAGGTCGCTGCCCCAAGCACCGTGGCTCGCACTACACAACACAGCTCAGGTTATACTCGACGGGGATGTGGAGCTCTTGGAGGAGCCGTGATCCCCTACTGCCCGAATCTCTGAGTACACGACATCGATGGGCAGACGATCATCATAGAGAGTGGGAGCCTGCAAGATGATGCCAGCTGTGCCCGTCAGCACCGCCAGGGTGAAGATCCACAGAAACAAACGATCCAGGACCATCGCCACGTACTTCCAGTCCTCCTTAACCTGGAAATAAGGGTATCATGGCTTTGTTGAATTATCTTAATGTTTATCATTGTTGTATACCTACAGTACACTGTCTAAGTACATTGTTTGTATACCTACACTGTCTAAGTACATTGTTTGTATACCTACACTGTCTAAGTACATTGTTTGTATACCTACACTGTCTAAGTACATTGTTTGTATACCTACACTGTCTAAGTACTGTATGTATATTCTGTATGCTGTATTTATATTATGCTATGTATATTATGTATGTGCTCCATTTATGTATTATTTATTTAGCCTAGCTAGTAGCGTTTGAGCAATGTATTTATCAATGTCCCACATGCTTAATTAATGTGCCTGGCGACGTATGGAAGCTGCTAATGTATCACTTGCCATACGTCGTCTATAGAGCAGTTGACAAGCAGACAGGTTGAGGAGCGGTACTCCCCTTGTGTACATATCTCTTATCCAGTAAATAGAACCTACAAAATCTATACAGGTTTTTGTGTTCGCTCCTGTATATTGAACTTATTACCCAGAACATGAACATGGCGCAGTGAACCGGTTTTATTGGATAATTACGAGTGACAGTGCAAAGTTTGTGGAAAGCCGGCTTATGGACCCCTTGCCCTGTGTCAACCGCAGCCCGCCACCCCTCCTCAAAGAATTTAGCAACTTTGAGCAGTGTCAGTGACAGTGATTTTCTGTGAAGTGTTTAGTGCATTGTGTGTTTCGTGCCATACATGTGTGACCTTGTTCTAATTGATTCCCAAGGTACACGGCATGTTCTGGGCATTTGTAAGGAGTAGACTTCAGTAATTTCTCATGGGCCTGAGGTAACCGCTTAGTCAGTTTCCACCCTCAGTCGTTCCACACCCTTCATAGCCTGAGGAGGATTGCTCACTGCCCGGGACACACATACACATAATACATGTACTAACACACTGACCGCTGCGATTCCCTTATATATATTTTATATATATAATCTACTTATCTGTGTATTTAATTAATTTTTTGTCTGAAATCTTGTTGATACGACGGGCTGACCGGTCAACACTGATTTAGACACAGTAGCCGTGGAGCCAGCGCCCGGATGAGTCAGTCGGATGATAGCTCCGCAGAGATGGATGACCAGGCTGACCATGACGCCCCAACTACCACAACATCGCGCAGCCCTTCACCTCGATATTCAGCGTTGTCTCCAGAGATAATTGCTTTAATGAAGTTTATGAGAGATGAAAGGCGCGAAGATGAAGTTAACAGACGTGTGGCGGATGAACACAGAAGGCAAGCAGAGGCAGAGAGAGACCACCAACGGAGATTGGAAGACAGTGCACGGTTTGAAGCTTTGATATCTCGCCTCACTGTTAACCAAGCCCCTGGCTCTAACACTACCTCGGTACTGACTGGTTCAGATACCTCATCAATGCTTCCTTCACGCCTCCCAGCCCCACCTAAAGCAGCTGCTCAAACACCGCCCATCTTGAAGCCTGATGTGACTTTCCAGACTTTTCGTGAATGGCGGCGACGGTGGACTCATTATTCTACAATGGTGGATCTCCAGAGTTTGTCACAGCCTAAACAACTCATTCAGCTGCGTATGTGCTTGTCCTTGGAAATTCAGCGTGTCTTAGAACATACGTTGCAGGTACCTCCGACCTCTTCGCTGTCTGTAGAGGAGGTACTGGACATTCTACAACGGCACATCAAAGGACAGCAGAATGAAGCTCTGCGCAGGAGGGAATTGTTTAGCTGCAGACAGATGGAGGGCGAGACTTTTGACGCCTTTTATGTACGACTCAAGCGAGCCTCGGAAGAGGTAGATATATGTCTAGGCCACCACCAGCAGTGCGAGGAGACCCAGTTGAAGCAGGTGATCCTGGTGGGTGTTAAGGACGAGGAGCTTGTCCAACGCCTCACCTCCCTCGACTCTTCCTCTTCTCTTAAGGATGTTTTGACGATATGTCGCTCCTATGAGGCTGCCAGGTGTGCCACCTCTGCCATCCGAGCTCCCCCTACGGTTGTACGCGCTGTGTCCCGGTACAAGAAGGACAAGAAGTCTGCTCCTACGCCTTCGCCCACCACGTCCACGCTCGGTTCATTTTGTAACAACTGTGGTAAGCAGCACGGAACACAGGTGTGTCCAGCTGCTGAGTCTACCTGCAACACTTGTGACCGTAAGGGCCACTGGTCACTCACAGTACGGTGCCCAGCCAAACGCGTCCAGTGCAATGTGTGTGGTCGTCTGGGCCACTATGACAAGTGTTGCCTTACCAACAAACCCAAGGGACAGCGTCGGCGGAAGCTTCGACGCCCTTCCACCAGTGAGGACCGCCCACAGTCGCCAAATCAGAGGCACGACGACCCTGGACAAAGCCCGACCCATATTAGGAGGGTGTACTCCTCGCGTCCCAGGACCTAAGTCCCCCAGCACGTCAGCGTCAACGTGACCTACGGCAATGTGTTATCCTGTCTCGAGATGCTGCCCGACACCGGCGCTAAGGCTACAGTCATCGGTCCCCAGCATTTGCAATGCTTGGGGCTCTCTCCAAGCAATCTAGGACCGCCTCCGAAGGACCTCTGCGTCACGGCAGATGGTTCACAGATGGCCCCAGCCCTAGGTTCACTCTATGCACATGTCACCTTTGGCAACAGGTCGTGTCAAGCCTGGATTGACGTGCATAATGGTGTCCCGACTCCTTTGCTGTCCTACAGACATTGCCAAGAGTTGGCCATCATCTCCCAGGACTTCCCAACACCGATTCTCGAGGTAAAATACGCCAACAGGGTGCACGAAGGGAGCAGCAATTACCCTGCTGCCGCCCTACCCCTACCTCTGGCCAGTGACACCTCTCCTTCGGTAGTTGTCCCTGCTGCTTCAAGTCTCCACGCCTTGGCTCGCCTCCACGACAGTCACTGTGGAGCCGAGGCCACCAAACGGCATGCAAGACAGACTGTGTTCCGGCCTGGCATCGACCCCGACATCTCCAATGCTGTCCAGCTGTGTAAGCCCCGCCACGTACTACAACCCAGCCAGCAGCAGGAACCCTTTATGAGTGACGACAACCCCACCCGCCCCTTTGAGTCTGTGTCGGCCGACTTTTTCTCTGTGTCAGGAAAGTCCTTCCTTGTTATCGTCGACCGTCTCTCTGGTTGGCCGGTTGTCATCAAGTGCGGTAATGACACGACGTCTGCCGCCACCATCAGCAAGTTCCGCCACTACTTCCGTGACGTGGGCGTTCCTGTGCGCCTGCGGACCGACGGAGGGCCTCAGTTCACAAGCCGGGACTTTGCTGTGTTCCTTGACCGATGGGGAGTCCGGCATGTGTTGTCATCGCCCCATTACCCGCAGTCCAACGGCCACGCTGAGGCTGCTGTCAAATCCTTGAAACACCTCATCCTAAAGGTGGCCCCTTCTGGGAATATCGACTGCGAGGCCTTCGACCGGGGTCTTCTTGAACTCCGCAACACACCTAACTACACCGGACGCTCCCCTGCCCAGGTTTTGTATGGACGGGGCGTCCATACAAAACCTGTGTCCCTGCTCACCCTCAATCCTTCTCCAAGGAGTGGCAGGCCAAGACAGAGGATTGTGATCGCCGAGCCGCCGAACGTGTTCAGGATGTCGTCGCCCGCTACAATGACCACGCCCGTTCTCTCCCCAGGTTGAGTGTCGGCACCCAAGTCCGTGTTCATGACCCGACCTCCCTACGTTGGGACAAAGTAGGTGTAGTCATGAGTCTCGGTAGGTCACGGGACTACCAGGTGCGGTTACCCAGTGGTCGTGTGTGGTGGAGGAACCGCCGTTTTCTCCGCCCCGTAACAATGCCTTCTACTGACCCCTCCACCAGTGTTGAGTCCCATACCCTTCCCAGTGATCTAGTCCCTCGACGCTCAGAACGGATCCAAAAGAAAAGGTCCGCTCAAGACTTTGCTATGAGCCTATAGGGGGGAGGGAGGTGTATGTATATTCTGTATGCTGTATTTATATTATGCTATGTATATTATGTATGTGCTCCATTTATGTACTATTTATTCAGCCTAGCTCGTAGCGTGTGGCAATATATTTAAGATGTCCCACATGCCTAATTAATGTGCCTGGCGACGTATGAAAGCTGTTAATGTCTCACTTGCCATACGTCGTCTATAGAGCAGTTGACAAGCAGACAGGTTGAGGAGCACTACTCCCCTTGTGTACATATCTCTTATCCAGTAAATCGAACCTACAAAATCTATACAGGTGTTTGTGTTCGCTCCTGTATATTGAACTTATTACCCAGAACATGAACACATACCAACGTCCTGATTTCATCCATTTGGTTTCTGATACTTCTACTGTTTCCGTGGTAGACATTTAAGTTAGTCGTAATCCAAGTCCTCGCTTTGTCGTATTTTCGTTTTAACTCCCTGCCAAATTTAGTTTTGTCATCATTCTTAACACTATATCTCTGTAAATTTTTATTTAGTTCACCCAATCACACTACAGTCTCCTCGATCCCCGTGCTCACATGTTCCCTAGCAGTTTAAAGACTTTGACTATGAATGGTGACTACGTGCTAGAAATGGTGACTACTTCCTGGGAATGGTGACTTCCTTCTTAGTGATGACCTTTCCCTATACAAATGACCTCCCCAATTACTGACGACCTTTCCTAATAGTAATGACTTTTAATTATATTATTGACCTCTTATAATAGTGCAGTAATGATCTCTAATAAGAGTACTGAACTCTGACTAAGCAGGAAAAGGTAAACATCCAAAGCAATACAATCCAAAGCAATGATGACCTCTGTCTATCAGCTGTTGAAGTGATGACCTTTTGAGAACAGCGGTGACCTCTCCCTGGAGCCAGTAGGTGTGTTGACCGCGCCCCAGCACTAGTAAGGTGGTGACCTCATCCCGGCAATGCTCTGACCTTTCCTTCGATACATGGGCGTCCGCAGGATTTTTTTCAGGGGGCGGGGAGCAAGAAGCATGACAAAACCTGACATATCAGTTTATTCAAAACAGGGCTCAGA